TGAACGCGTTGGTGTTTTGAATGAACTCAGCGTTCTGGTTTATATGATCTAATCGCAACAGCATAAGCTGTGTATGTGTGTAGAAGATGTGGGCAAACGCTGCATCGAAATCTGAATGAAACGGGAATTTAGTATTCTTTGTTCGATTTCTCTCCAATGTCAAAACATTATCCAAACAATTCATATGAATTGTGATCAAGATTTAACTGTCTATTTGAGAAATATAGTTGGGCGCCGAGTGAGAAGTAGACCTTTGTAAAATTTATATTTTTAAAATCTCAGCGAAATTGAAATGATCAATTCAAACGTTTCCTGCGTTCGGCAAACTGGTGGCCCAAACTTCTTCAGGGAAATTAATCGAAATTAACATAACAGAGGTTTATATATATATAAAAGAACATCTCTTGTTTTTAAAAACTTTGTCCAATCATATGTGTCATGAAATAGGCATCAACACGTAGAATAAATAGAACTGTATGAACTGTGATCAAAATCTGACCTCGGGCTTCTTACAAATATGAGTCTACTTTTGTTAAACACTTAAAAGAGAGTGTACTTTTCATTAGATTACGTTCGGTTACAGATTCATGGTCGTAGATAACTGAATATGAACGTCTGTTCGAAGTGTTGGGATTCACCCATATATGTAGGGCTTCCACAATCAGTCTTCCTTTATACAAACCAAAAAACTTTCCGTAGAACCTTAGTCTTATCAAAGCCGATTTCGTGTCCAGTTTCTGTTAAATACAGTGCATTGCAATCACTGATCTGTTTTTTCTAGCTTCTTTAATTCTGCAGAGGTCTTTGAAACCACCTTCAGACATTATTTATGCTCCTTAACTCTTATATTTACCTGTTTGGAAGTTTCTCATACATATATAAGACGTCATAGTCCCCACAAGTGATCTGTTACACGCAATTCTGTTGGTTTTCTTCTTCTATTTTATCATCCTTAACCTTCACCAGTGGTGATGAGCTTAAGGTGTTAGGTACACGAAAATACACTCTTATGTTATCATGATCGTTAAGGATTCACTTTACCTCATTCGATGTTTCTTAGCGATAAGGAATCCCCACTGTACTAACCTAATTCTTAGCAGCAGGTTTCGATTCATCCTTATCTTCACACTTTATCTAACAATCTTGATATATATTCTACCGTTATATTTTATAAGAATTAAAATGTCCCGCCACCCCCGTAATATAGTAGACGTAATAAAATCGATAAAACTGTTGGACTTTATGCTTACTCATTGCAAAAAATCGGATTACGTAAACTCCTTTTTTTTCTCTCTCTCTGGAATTCACAAAAATATCGCTTAAGATTTATTCATACTTTGCTTCTGCCTTACTTCATTGCACCTGATTTGCATTTCAAAGTCACATTGACAAAGTAAAAAAAAAACATTTTGTAGCAACTATGCTTTTTGCTGCAAAAAGAGAGTGATTACGTCATATTGATTTTTAATCGTGAAAAATTAACCAAAATTTACATATCTGTTAAGCGTGTAAAAATGTTAATTTAATTGCGGTACAGTTCATTCTATCATCAAAGGGTAGCACATATATATATGTATAAGTTATCAGGATTCTACATTTATTGATTCGTTTGCTTGAACAGTGAACTAATTAGTCTCATGACAGATTATGACAATGGGGAACTCAATAGTATTAAACGATTGCTGAGTGGGAACGGTTATCCACAAAAGTTTATTGATTAGAATATGAATGTAAAATCAAAGCAGTCCAAGGTACCAACAGTTCCTCAAAAGGAAAGTCTTATTTTTACAAATTCAGTTTCTCGGGGACAACATCGGCGAGATACTAAAACAACGCCTTAGAAATGCAGCAAAAAGAGCATCTCCTCCATTCGTCTTTTGCGTTAGGGAGTAAAAGATAAACTGCCTAATTTATTTTTTGTTATTACAGCTTGATTCTACACTGTATTTTTGGTAGAAGTATGGAATTTTCAGCATGGATATCGGTAGCCCAAATTTTGCAGGCCGACCATAGATATCAGGTATGCGTAGGCAGGGGATCGAACCTTGGACCATGTGCATGGTCGGCGAGAGTCCTAACCACTGTACCACCGACGCCTCTTCCATTTGTATCTACCAATATAACTCCTCCTGTGGGGTGAGCCAGTTAGTTGCATGGGCCGTCATCGGATTTCCGAACATCACCCTGCAAAGTGGTTGGTTAAGTAAAGGACGAAAAAATCTATCCGTAGTGCTATTCTACTTCATCTAGTGGATAAAGAACACAAGACTGATGTTAACCAGACAGCTTTCAAAGTCATTTACTGCATACCAACAGATCTCAATTTAGCCTTAACAGTTCGACTACTAAATATTGATGAGGATGGCTGTTGGGATCCACATTAAGAAGCCTAATTTATGCGTCCAAAAGAAGCTAGTTCAGACATTGTCTTTACCTTGACCATCAAGGTTTGAATGATCCTCAATTTTTGTGGAATTTTCCTAATTTTATTTCATATTCTATTTTTATCATATCTTTATTATTATTATTTAAACATCTTTAATGAACTGTGGTAATTCCATTGTGATCTTACTTTACTTTTTATTTAAAAAATAAAAATCGTGTTATTGAGGACTATTCTAGAATAGTCTATTTATACAAACATATGTATATATAACTGTAGAGCCAGAAAAGGAAATTATCGAAAAGGATATTCTTTGCTCGCTCAACTATGTAGCTTTTTATAAACATTTTTTCGAAATAAATTTTGTTTATTACTTCACGTTCTAAGTGGAGCATAAGGTCTTAAGGCTTGCTCCTTGAGGTTCGTCAACCGAGGACTGGACCCCTGACTATGTTAGGCGTGGTCTGGAAAAATCCTGCTGTTGAACCATCGACTTAAATGATACTTATTTGAACGAAATATTCCCATATTGAGTTATAAGAAAAAGGCGCGAACATTGAAGACATTTTTCTTTTCGACGATTCATTTTTATGAGCTGCTGTGCAATAATCGTAATTATATTTAACAAAGAAATCTTTAAACGAATCAGATACTACTGGTAAACTTTGTTCTCTTCAAAAAATGTATTATATAATGTAAGAGGTAACCTAGAAGGGATTACTGATTGTTAATTTAAAAAAAAATAGGCAGAAGTTGTCATGACATAATAAGTGTGAGATAATGACCAACTAATCACTAAGGTCGTGTAGAATGGACAGAAACAAGTAGAAAGGCGATAAAGTGTTCCGACACCTTGTCATCTCCGGACATCGAGCACCCCCCACCCCGTATGAATGCCTTACAGTGCTACACAGAGTTTCTCAGCATCGTAGAAAGGCACTTTGAACACGCCATCTGTACACAGCTGAAGCATTAGCTATTCGAGATCCACAAGATGAGACAGAATAGCGCTACGAATAGATTTTGTTTGTCCTTGACTTAACCAACCATCTTGCAGGGTGATGCTCTGAAATCCAACGAGAAACACGTCTAATTGTACGGCCTGTGTGAATGGCTACAAAGGACGAAACAAAAATTACATATCTGATATTAAAACACATCAGGTCCACTGTCGATTTAACGACTGAAAAAACACATTCTTTTGTATGTAGAGTTTAGGTTTTAATATGTGAACTCCCATTGATTCTGCGGTTTCAAAACGTTTGTTTGGTTGGTGTTCTTTTAGCAAGAATCCTGCATATTCTGTAGACAACTTTGAAGTTGTTCTGTGGGTTTCCTTAGTGCTCCGATTTGAACGGGTATTTCAGAAGAGATCTTCGGGGATACCTTTATTTTAGATATGATGGAGACGATTTGTAGCTCAGGTGGGTGATTTTGATGTGGTTGTGTTCTCTGAGCTGGATAGTTCATTTGCGAAGTTTTCATCCCTCTACTAGGTAACATCTTCAGCACATAGACTTCAATTTGTTGAAGTGAGCGTTTAGATTTTTCCACGAGTTTATTAATCATCTCCCCTGATAAGTGCCCCTGAACGTGATTGGTTAATTTTGTGTGTTTTCACATTCTCTGGGGGCTACTTCTATTGGAAATGATTGTTTCCTTGACTTGCACTTTGACGCTTTGTGTGTGAGATTTCCTTCTTATCGGCTGGTAAATTTTGTCTATCTCAATATGTCTACTGATTGACGATTCATCGGAATACCAGACAGCCTTCTAAAAATTCTCCACCATTCTTGATGTTTCCTTTGTCTAAAATTTGAACGTTGTCTTAGTCAAAATGATGTCCGTGGTTGTCTGTATGCAGTGAGGCGATTTGAAGGAGTGAATGTCATGTCTTTTGAGCCATAGTTTATGATCATGGTCACAAAGACAAAGAGGAGGGCTGTCCAATTTCGCTAATGTAGGGCTTTTGCACTTGTTACAATTTATTTTGTAGATGATGTTGGTTTTATCTTCCATCAAACCGAAAGCCTTCAAGGAAAGCACAAAGAAAATCACCCTACCCTATATAAAGTACATCTCAGAAGTAAATCACTGCAAGACTCTTCAAACCTTGATGAGGAATTGACGTCGTACACAAACCAACAAAATCACTTCACTCAGCTGGCTCTGGTGTCAACCAAAATACTCAACAACGAAAGAAGATAAAACCAACATCATCTACAAAATAAATTGTAACAAATGCGAAAAGCACTACATTGGTCAAAGTGGATGCCCATCCTCGCTGTCTACGTATCCATGAACATAAGCTAGCTGTCAAAATACATGACATCCACTCCTGTACATCACTCGCTGCTTACAGACAACCATGGACATTAATTCGACTGGGAAAACGTTCATATATTTTATTGATAAGAAAACTAAATCTATATATAAATATACATGGAATTATACAGCATGAGAATGATATTGCTGATGAAAACAGGAGTAACTCTTCGCTAAATGCCTTTTCTTTTATAGAACTCAATAGGAATTTTTAAGTATCAGAGAAAAGAGTCGAATTAATCCTCGATACTTCAACTTTTCTTCTTATGGTTTATTCATTTCTGCATCATAGAAATCAATTCAAAGATCAATCGTTCTTCGGGTACGCGGAAGTTTGAAGACATTTACTTGGAAAATGGTAAGTTAATTTTTTTTTTATAAAATAATTATTATACTACCATTATTCACACTACTTGATTTCCGAGTGAATCGTTGGGCTTTAGTGGCATATTATCCATTCGTATTCCTTTTTGAATATCATCACTTTCAAACGGCTTCATGACTGTCCATAAGATTTCATTTCTCATCCTTTGCCCCTCCCGCATAGAAAGATCTGCTAAACGTCATAGTGGAATAAGCGACGAACACAATATCCAGTGAAGAGACTCTCTCCAACAACGAATTTATTATCAAGCTGTACAGTCGTATACACATATATATATGGGTTCTTTTTAAGAAATTATATCCAGTGAGGGAATTAGGTCAAAGGTGAACATATGAAATAACAATAATAGTAGTATGAAATGCAATTACAATATTTGTGATTATAATCATAGTTAAATGTCAAGTGACAAAACAATTAATTTTCAAGTATTGGTTTTGTAGGGATTTTGTTTGATTGCATGGAGGATTTAATCATGAGCTGACATCAATTAGAGAACACTGGAAAACCTGGGAGTACTGGACAGCTGTTTCGTCCTAGTTTGGGGCTCTTCAGCAGTACGCACCACCGAGATTCGAACCCAGGACCTTCTGGTTACAAGGCGAGCTCGTAGACCATTGAGCCACTGGGACCCGACCCAATGGTCCTTGAATTCTAACTTCTAGTGGGAAGCGGTGACCAGTAGGATACAGCAGGTTGAAGATGAGGCAGTAACTCATCGAAGAAGACATTGCGAAGTGGTCGCGCTATTTCGTAAACTGGCAGAAGTTAGAATTCAAGGACCATTGGATCGGGTCCAGTGGCTCAATGGTCTACGAGCTCGCCTTGTAACCAGAAGGTCCTGGGTTCGAATCCCAGTGGGTGCGTACTGCTGAGGAGTCCCAAACTAGGACGAAACAGCTGTCCAGTACTCATACGTTTTCCAATGGTTCTCTAACTAATGTCAGCTCGTGATGAAATCCTCATGCAATCAAAACAATTAATATCATATATAGAATAATACATAAGGTGTATAGATGTTGAAAGTGGGGGTGCATAATTATAGGATTAGTAGGCGAATACAAAATGTTACATAACATGGTGTGCGAAATTTGATAAGATAAAATTCAATATTGTAAAAAAATAATTTTAGATTTGGAATTACAAGTGGGACAATCCGGAACAATTCATAGTGAGGATAGTGGTAGTAATAATAATAATAATAAGGGAAAAGTGCATAGAATAACTAAATAAACAAAATACATAAATAAACAAATGTCTATCTTTCTACGGCCAAGGCAGAAGCAGGGATTGGACATACTTCTTTTGTGCACAAAGGTATTTAGCTTAAATTCATCAATGGCCAAGGCCTCCACTGTCTATAGAAGTGTGTAACAAAGAAAACGTGGATGGCAAGGTACCATAGATTCGATAGATGATCTTAAAATCCTGGTCAGGGTTGGTGTTGAGTGACAGGAGTCAATCAGATGTTCTGGAATAGAGCTTCGCATACTCCCTTCCTTTCTCCCTTGTAAAACCATACTGGTGGAATATATATACAATATACGATTGTACAGCTTGATGATAAATTCGTAGTTGGAGAGAGTACCTTCACTGAATATTGCGTTCTTAAATATGTATTCGTTCTTTGTAATTCGAAGTAAGTTCCAAGAGTTGCCTGCTTAGTGGTGTAGCCTGCAGTCAGATTAAATAGACACGCTCTTTTTCTATTCGGTGAGTCAGTGAGTGATAATATTTTTATTGGAACTCAAACTTATCAGCCACTTTTGTGAACAACAAGGCGTTATCCAACTATGCAGACAATTTCAAGAGTAATTCATGATAGGAACAGGATAAGCGCTTTTATTAAGAATAACCGCTTAGGTTTTTACATACATTAAATAGATTCATGTTCGGTTTAAGGTCATTCATGATATTTTTTATACCCACAGCCCGGTATTATTATTATTATGTGTATTTTTCCCTTGGGTTCCGATTGAAATACGGGCCTTCAGTGGTACGTCTCCATTTTGTCCGATTCTCTGAGGTCGTCTTTAGCTTGGCCTATGATTGCCCACAATCCATCACCTCTTTTTCGCCCGATCTCCCTCATGTCAACCCTCGGACCGACGTCAAACCTGCTATTTCCTATTGTTTTGTCACATGGGTGACTGCCTGGCGCAATATGTCATCCCACGGCCTCTTCAGCGTATCCCCATAGTTTCTTATTTTGAATTTTTTCTGACCCTTCGATCTTCATTATGGAGCCAGAGAAGACAGCTGTTGCTAAAAATTTTGCAGTTGCCTGTCAGCAATGTTATTCATGATGCGCGTATCATGCTTCTGAATGGTTTACAAGGGGCAACTGAGTTCATAATGGTGTTGAAGAGGCTAGATTAGTTAGGGAACTATCCGAAGTGAAGAGGTGCAAGAAATTTCTTCATTTTATTCTTAAAAATGCACAATCCCAACTCCTATAAGATTAGATTATCAGATGATCTAATAGGTTTAAATACACTGGCTTACGATAGCTGTTATTGATATAAGTATAAAACTTGGCCACTGTGTGGTGGTAGAGTATAACTCCGTTATAGATAAGGTTATATTTTAATAAATCACAAAGTGTTGTACAGTAATATAAACTGATGACCACGTTTCAAGCACAATTTGTTGCCCTCATAATCAAATCAAGTCACTCACACAACTTCTTTACTTCATTTATATACATAAGTAAAAACTAATGATTAGAAATTTGAATAAAATCAATATAAGATAATGTACATTCAGAAACAATATAATATGAGTGTTATCGATCAATTACAACCAGATGGGAAATAAGACGAGTGTTTATACTGTCAAAATAAATAACTTGTTAGAATGTTGTGATGTACATGAATTGAAATCGAATTTTAAGATTATTTATTATCCTCCTCTGATTTGACTGACTGACTGGTGGTAATAATATCTTCCATACACATCTCTGGTATTTGCACTCAGACATTTCTGTTGTATGTGTTGGGTGTAGACCCGATGAACCAGGATTCAGTAATCCACCTCTCTATCTCTCTCCATCTACGTATATTACAGCTTAGAAGTTTAACCCTCTCCCACCGTATTCTGTGGTTGTATGTCAATGCATGCAGTACACTACAGTGCTGAGCTTTTTTCTAAATTACTTATCTTCTCGGGGTAGACCATTCTTACAACAGCTAAATTCTTATGCTCCGACAGACTGACTACTCCCACCCGACCTACTAGTTCGACTTATGTGGCTGACCTCACAGTCATTGCAAGGTATTTTTTAAATTATATTATTTTGTTTAATTAGGTCAACCCACTGGGTTCTTTAGCCTACACAGCTTGCCTTACCTGAGTGAGTTTGTAAGAGGGTTTAAATGCCACTCTAATTCCTACTTCACTGAAAATCCCAAGAAGGGCGACAGATGTCTCCTCTTTATATGGTAACATTACTGTAAATGCCTTATATTCTCATTTATTTATGTTATCATTATTAGTTTCGCCACTACTGTATAACACTGTGTGATTTATCAAAATAAAATCTTATCTATAATGAACTTAGAATATCTGTTTTCTGTAATTATTAGTGTTCTTTAAACTGGTTGGTTTAGTTGCGGAGCTTTCGTCGTACCCCTGCTAGACAACATCCCCTTTCAGCACAATTTTCAGCTTAAAGTGAACTGTATACAATTGGTGGATGGTGGTTGGCAGTGGAATCCAGGATGCACATTTCGTCCTATTTGGGACTCGTCAGCTGGATGTACCTGCACTTCTCAGTGAGTGATGATGTTCCCACCGAGGCTCGAACCCAGTGTCCATAGTTTCAAACACCAAAGTGTTATCCACTAGACCACTTGGGCCACGAGAGCCACCTCTTGTGCAACGGGTCATATTAATTATTGAATTGAATTTTTTGACTTTCCCGTCGACATGTCAACCTGAGACCGAGCACTTCGGTCCAATCAATCGACGGGAAAGTCAAAAAATTCAATTCAGTAATTAAGTGAACTGATTTAAATTTTCGATGAGTAATAGAAACTACGTCTCCTGGTAAACAACTTTACATATGTACTGAGCATTTTTTTAATTGACTTTGATTTTAAATTTTCTTGTCACATGATTTAATGGTTTATCTATGAGTTGGCAATTCTATCAATCATGGAAAATTTGAATCATTTCACTTTATGCCAAAGATTGCGCTGAAGATGTTGTCCAGCAAGAGGCGACGACGGAAGGCCTGTAACTAAACCAACCAATCAGCTGAGAGAACACCACAAAATAAAACTCATCCACCTGAGCTGCACATCGTCTCTATTATATCTGTCTTCTGTAGATTTGAGTAGGCTTACATAATCATCAATCCAAGGCAATTATCTTGTTTAATGTCCAGTTGTTTTGGGAAACAAATATACTAAACTTTCTATTATTTTATCATATTGGCTCTTCTAAGTATCCAGGCATACTGAGCTAAAAGGAGAAAGGTGTGAGCTGTTGACTACTTCTGAAACTATTCGAAATAACCTCGAGCTAGTGTGCGTATTTTCTCAAATTCCTTTGCATTTCAAGTGGAACACGGAGAGGGCGTCAAGCTCTGAGCTTGAGATTTCCACTGGCGATGGCATTGTTTCTGCTGTGTAGGATTATTAGTCCTACACCTAACCTCTCTACCTTGCCTGAGTTGCTGCCAGCTAGGCGAGGTTTAGAAGTATGTCATCTGCGAGGTGAATCTAGACCTTCCGTTTGTTGGCTTGCATTTAACACTGAATCACCAACACAACGTTTAATGACCTAAATTAAAGGAGAGATTCGGTTCACAACAGAATTCAAACGTCTGATCCTCGAATTACTAATCCTCGCCTTTAGTTTGAGATAATTAGGAGAGTCACGATAGAAGTTATTAAGGAAGTAAGTGTAACAGTAATCAGGCAGTAGCATGTCATTTATTCATATGACTGTTGGGCAGTATCCGAAATGACTGT